AAGAATTTTAATTCACATTTCTATGGGTTTTTATCCGGCCTACTCATTCCTAAACCTACATTATAAATACCAAAACACATTTGAACGTCTTTTCTTAAGGTTGAACATTGATAAAACATTGATTACTTCATATTCTCTCCATCCATAGCTTTCAATCTTCATTGATTATTTTGTCCTTGACATTGAAAACATCAAAACCATTTAATTCAGATAACAAATTGATACTTCGTACACATCTGTCAGAGTGTTGAGATTTAGGGAAGGTGACCAGAGTTCCAATTGTTGGAGAACGCGAAGTGCTTCATTGATCCACATGAGATAGACGAATTCATAGACCCGTGAGTTGGTGCATGAGTACGCAATTCAGGAGGGCTTTAAAAACTGCAGATGGGTGTTGGTGCAGGAGTACGCAATCCAGNNTTTCCTTTTGTCGTTAGAATTAAAATCGATTAAAGTTGCGTAATCTAAAGTATACATTCATCGTGGGGATCGACAATCCGGACTCTTAAGGTCCACTTTATTACTTGAACGCGACCCGTGCACTTGCGGTATATTTTCAGCAAACAGTTGTCTATAATTGCAAGAATTTCAAGCATAAAGTGGAGACTGAACACAAACAGAAAATCCTCCATAGTATTTATATGTCTTGTAGCCAGTGATCTCTGATCTAAATTTATGTCATCTTCTGATATATCCTCAAGAACATCTACGATGGTATTAAACATATTAATAACACGAGTAATTGTCACTAGGTATGAGCCTCATCTAGTATCACCTGAACGTGCCAAACTCATTTCTTGAAACTTACCACTCCCACCACAAAGTTCCCCAATATTAAGCTTCTCCAAAATATCGACATGGTAACTTGCTCGAAGAGCATCTAGACGCTTACATGACGCACCAACCAAATTCACAATAATATCAAGCATGTTAAATAAATCACCAAGAATATCATTCCTACGTGCCACAGAAACAACTGTCAACTGAAGTTGATGAGCAAAGCTGTTAGGTTTTTTATGTAATTAGAATATCTGTGAACAAAAAGGACTAGATTTAATGTGTTGAAAAAGTCTAGGAGTATGGTGCAAATATTATAAATTGAGTTATATTAGGTCTAGGGTTCGAGAATGGAAATGAAGGAAAAACGGCGCCGCAATTTCACTAGATTGTTGCCATGACTTGGCTCGAGCGGCAGAAACCGAAACATTATCGCTAACATGTTGCCTGGCCTTCGCTCGAGCGACACATCGTCGCTCGCCTGTCACCCAGCTTTTTCTCGAGTGACAGAATTATCCGAAGAATTTTAATTCGCATTTCTATGGGTTTTTATCCGGCCTACTCATTCCTAAACCTACATTATAAATACCAAAACACATTTGAACGTCTTTTCTTAAGGTTGAACATTGATAAAACATTGATTACTTCATATTCTCTCCATCCATAGCTTTCAATCTTCATTGATTGTTTTGTCCTTGACATTGAAAACATCAAAACCATTTAATTCAGATAACAAATTGCTACTTCGTACACATCTGTCAGAGTGTTGAGATTTAGGGAAGGTGACCAGAGTTCCAATTGTTGGAGAACGCGAAGTGCTTCATTGATCCACATGAGATAGACGAATTCATAGACCCGTGAGTTGGTGCATGAGTACGCAATTCAGGAGGGCTTTAAAAACTGCAGATGGGTGTTGGTGCAGGAGTACGCAATCCAGAAGAGCTATAGGAATTACAGTCAATAGGTCATGAAGTAGTAGTGGTAGTCGAGTCTGGCGGACTGTAAGTTCTAATTCGTTTATAGTGGATTGTTGACCGACAAAATACCTGGAGTTTTTACCCGGTTGGGGTTTCTCCGTTATCATTATTAGTGTTTATTTATTGCTTTCATATAATTGTGGTATTTCCACATAGAAAAAATGGACTGTTTAATTAACCATCTAGAGATAATTAATAGTGACTTATTGCTAGTTAATTATTAAGTTTTAATTCCGCATAATCACTTATTCACCCCTCATCTAGGTGTAGTTTGGGTCAAACCTCTTTATTTCAAAAGCAATAGACATACATAGCATATGGGATCTTTCTTAAAATTAAAGCCTTCAAGTCATTGAACTCATCTAACATATTACTTGCTCCATCATAACCTTGACCTCTCAGGCTAGATATGCTCAATCAATGCGTAGAAAATATTGCATCAATTGTATCCTTCAGTGATTGGGCACAAATATCAGTTACATGGGTAATGCCCAAAAAAGCTCCTTTACGTGCCTACTTTGGTCAACAAACCTCAAAACAATTGCCATTTGTTCTTTTACAGAATTATCACGAGCCTCATCAACCAAAATTGAAAACAAACAATCATCTATCTCATTGATAATANCCAAAATTGAAAACAAACAATCATCTATCTCATTGATAATAGCCCTTGTTGTCTCTACGACATAATAATTAACCAAATCCTTTTGGATCTTTGGTGAAGTCATTTTGTCATTTCCAAGAGTATTACTGAATAATACTTGTTTAACTTCCTCGCAAAGAGCTGCATACCAGTCCAGTAGCTCAATTAGATTTCCTCTATTAAGAAACTCTTTGGATTCATCGTGACCACGAAATGCCAATCCTTGCATCAAAAGAAATCTAATACAATCTAGCACCACGTTCAATTTCGTCCTATAATTTTTTTTGTTGACTACTACTTTGGATAGAAATAACGTGGGAGATACTTTGCTTTTGATTCAAATGTGCATATTTTTTTGTTACAATAATCTTCATAGGAAAAATAATATATCATTGAAAAGATAATTGAATTTGAAGTTCAACGTAAAAGACATTGTGCAATTTGAAGTTATAGATAAAAATAAAATAAAATAATATGCATTTATTGTTAGACAATCGAGCAAACGCGAGATTTACACAGAAACTCGACTTTGCATAAAACTCTTTTTTTGCATAGAATACTCAACTTTGCGTAAAAACTTGAAAGTTTGCCAAACGCACTCGATATTTTCATTACAAACTCGGAAATTGACCAGCTAACTTGCCAAATGTCTACAAATTAAAAGTTATAGACTTCCTTATTTTTTGGGGTTTGGGGCCTCCTTTAATAAATATAGAAACATTTAGCCCCTATTTGATGGGAATTTAAATCAGATTTACAATAAATTTTGAATGTGTGATTAAAAAGTTGTAGGTCCCATTAAATATTTAGTTATAATTAATTGTTGACTTTGATTTAAATTTAAATTTCTATCAAATAGGGCTTAGTGTACAAATTTATTTTTTTTTAAAAAAAAAGGAAAAAAAATTACATAATTAAATTAAGAAACTAGAACTTACAATTTTAGACCCTATTTAGTTTTGATTAAAAAAAAGATTTTAATAGATATTGTTAAAAGTTGATGAAATATGTTGTTACAAAGTAAGTAAAACTTGTAGATCCCATAAAATGTATGATTGAAATTGAAAATGAATTTGAATTTTTTTTTTTTTTTTTAAGAAATGAGAGCAAAACAAGGACTTAATATCATATGTTCTACACCTCATAGGATAGTATGCCATGAACTTTATCTTGAATACTACTCGTTGTCACGTGTGTTGCACGAATTTTGTATTTATTCAGTTTCTATAAGCATATGAATTTTAGATTTTCTAGAATTTTAGTGAAGATATTGGGGCTGTCAATATTTAGGAATTTTGTAATTAATACAAATTATATACGAATAAGAAATGAATGAGCTTACATCGAATGGTTTGCTGGTATCGTTGACATGTTTGATATTTTTTAATGTTTGACAAGCTTCAAATTATTGAACGCAATTCTAATATTATTATGTATAGAAAACAGATAGAATAAGATAGCCAGCCAGAGCACAAATCCAAATAACCCAAAAGGCCCTTCAAATTATAGCCCAACAAAGGACCAACATCTTTCCACCACCCACATAACACATTGTATATAGCTTTTATATTTTGAACTATACCAATATAGAGACAAAAAATGAGGAAATTGTGAATAGCTTAGAAAAAGCAAGATGCAGACCAGAATTAATACAACAACATATTTGAAGTACAAAAAATGAATACTGGTTAAAAATTTGTGAACTTTATAAAATCTGAACAAATTTATTTTGCACAAAAGGGGATTCTAGGAAAAAAAATATAGTTATACTAATTCAATTAGAATTAGAAGAAGGTGACAATAATTTAACACATGCGAAGAGAACGAAACATAAGTAGCATAAATAGAAGGAAAAAATTTAGAATCTCATACAGAAACATCATAATACATCTATAAAAATGAACAATATCTTAATTAAATTAGCCTTTCCCTCTTTAGCGCACTTCTGAGTTAAGGATTTTGGCGTCGATGTGAATATTTGCACTGTATAATTAATGAAGGAAAACTATTCACATGCTCAGTTTGCAGATTTTAATCAAACTGCCTCCATTGTTGATATGGGGATTATTTCGTCTTAAAAAAATTAAATTACATACTAAGAGCATTCACTTTGTACAAAAGACCTTCAGAAGATGTGCATGAAAGGTTTAATGAGGACAATAATGAGGTGGTTGATGTGAAAAGAGACATTGATTGGTGTGAATAAATATTGAACTATTCAAATATTTATATATGCTATTAGTGTAGAGTATATGTAAGAATATCTAAAATAATTGCATAGAGAACCTAAAATAGTTTAACATTTTCTCAACCAATGTGATTATGTGAGCCATTTCATTATTGTTCTCATGAGAAATTTGATTCATATATTGCAAAAGAACTATAGGAACTTGTTAAAAATTATGTTTTGTTAAAAATTTATGCACAATTTATGGGAAATTGAACTTTTCAGGTCTATGCAACTAATAACTCATGTTTAAGGATATTTTTCTTGTTAAAATCCATCATTGCCTAGAAAAACAATAACCTTCCATGTCCACCGTCATTCATTGGACGACAAATAATGACTTTGTGATAAATCTATGGATGCTTACATACATAAATCAAGATGCAAGTAGTATTGCCTCAAGAATAAATTTATCATGCCATCCTTCGATCCAACTGCATTGTACCTCATAAGCAGAACTATAGGCTATAAACCCGAAACCCCTTAATCTACCACTCTCTCTGTCATAAACCAGCTTGGCCTCTATAACCTTTCGTTGCTCACTGAAGAAGGTTTGAAGATCTAGATTTTCAACTTCCCATGCAAGGTTTCCCACATAAACTCTGTTGTTATTATCGAAACTTGCCCTTGATCCTCCATTCGGTCCTCCGAATGAAGAATTTTCCTTCTTAAGGCATGGAGGTCCATTATTCATTCTCAGTTGCCTGCCTTCACATTCCTGATAAATAAGGCAGTTCATGAATTTTATACATAGTTTCAATAAAGAAGTTCGAGACACTTGATGCACAAGTAGCATAATGTCTATGACTATCACAATTTAAAATTCAAATTGTACATACAACTTCATGTAAGTACAATTTATAGAAGCCTATGCATTTTTGTACCCTTAAGTACCATGAATAGAAACCGGAAACAACCTCGGGAATAACTTTTGAGAGAGATCACCGTGGGTCAGCATAATGCCAAATGAAATTATCTGAAGTTTGAACAAGCGTTAACCAATTAGGCTAAGAAAAATGAAACCAAAAATTAGTTGACTCAACAAAAGGTAAGAGTAAAAAAGAAGAAGAAGAAAACATACAAAATGAGGAGATTTTCCAAAATAAGCAAGAACAAGATTCACTGCGCCTTCTCCTCTATAAGCCCATTCCATGGCATATTTTGCCTTCAACACCACCGCTATTCACTGCCTACAAAAAATATATTGTTGGGAAATATGTAAGAAAATCTGGAAAGAACTAATGAACTCCAGGCACGAAAATCGTTATCTTTGAAGAGATGTTTCTCCCCTATTCAACAAAGTCACGATCGGGGTATGATAGAAAATCTCTCTCAGGGTACTATGGAGGCGTTTGATTCAAATTGT